GGCGGCGGGGCAGGGGTCCCCCCCCCAGCCCCTCCGCTGCTCCGCTCCGGCCTTTCCAGCACCCCCGGCTCGCACCCCGCAGCCTCGGGGGCTCCTGCGGACAGAACCCCAAGCCCCCCCGCTCCTCGCCCAGTCAAATCTTGGGAACCCCAGCTCTACGTGCTGCGGACCCCCATGCACATCCCTAGGGATGCGCGGCCTACACAGCGAGATGCAGCTGGATGATGCCTGGCCCCGGGGTGCTCAGCACCAACAATTGGTGATGCACACTCCAGGGATGCACATCCCACACCGTGAGATGCAGCCGGACAATGCATGGCCCCGGGATGCTCAGCCCATGCTGGTTGGTGATGCACATCCCCAGGGATGCACATGCCACACCGCGAGATGCGGCCGGACGATGCATGGCCCCGGGATGCTCAGCCCGTACTACAAGGGCTGGCTGGCGATGCACTCCCCTGGGGCTGCACACCCCACACCCCGAAGGCTGCCAGACGATGCACAGCTCGCCCAGCAAACACACCCCGCCTGCAGATTTCTCTTTGCCCGCTCAGCCCTTGCCAGGACGGCGCTGTGGCCACACGCAGCCCCCAGCCCCACCGGGACGTGCCTGCTTTCGGCCCCCCCAGCAGCCAGCGTTGCGGCCGGGGCTGGGCACCGTGCCTGGCTGGAGGTCACAGCACATCCTTGCTCAGCAAGAACAGTGGCATAAATTTCTACTATCTCAGCCACGTTTTTATTTTTAATTTTTTTTTTATAAAACCATTTTCCAGCTCCTCTGAATTATAGACGAAAAACTCAGCTTTATTGTCGTGGTGATTTTAGTGGCTGGCTCTGCTCCTCTCAGTACAGTGAGACCAGTACACGGCCTGAGACAGCCTGACTTGCTCTGGGTCAGCCTGTTCCTCCTCCTCCTGGCCACCTCCAGCCCTGCACAGCCCTTGCTAGGGGACATCCAGCCCTTGCCAGGAGACATCCAGTCCCTCAGCCGGGCACGGTGAGAGGCACCGGCCCCAGTTCCCCATCCGTTAATGATCCCCCAGCACACAACAGTCTCCCAGGGCTGCCCCAGGCTCCGTCGGTGCCCATCACCCTGGACAGGCCATCTCCGGGGCACACCGGCTCCATCACCACCACGGAGGGACCTTGGGAACCGCTGCTGGTCCCCCACCACCCCTGCAGGTCTGCCACCGAAGGCAAAGAAAAGGCATGAATTATTTATAATCTCTTTCAATCAAATAAATGCTTAGGTGCTTGAGTTAATTTCCTGGATCCTGAAAATCCAAAGTGCAGACTTTTAATAAGGCAAATTAAGTGCTTTATATGTTACACTGATTAAAGCTCCGTATCAATCTATCTATCACATGTTGAATTGAAGGGGCCGGGAAACAAACAGGTCCCCAGCAGCTGTGCTCCCCTCGTGCAGGCTCCGCTGCCTGCCCTGGCCAGGCTCACGCAGGGCACAGGGCTGCTCCCTGTGCAGGAACACCTCAAACTGGTAAAAAAAAAAAATAAAACCCAAGTCTCTAGCAGTTTTTTTCCAGTGAGTGAATGTCGGATGAAGGAAGAGCACGGAGCATGGGAGATCTTGCTGTGCCCTGGGAGCTGCCGGCTGGCACTGGCAGAGGTTTAGGAGGCAGCAGGGTGCATTGAGGGATGGGGGATGCTCCTTGGCCCGTGGGTCCCCCTCTGTTCCCGGGTCTGTTCTGACAGCAGCGAGGGATGATCCCTATCCACAACCAGGCTGGTTCCCATCTCCGGACCCTGGGCAACCCAGGCATGGCCAGGAGCATCCAGCAGCACCGACGGCTTGGTTAGCTGGAGCGATGGGGACTCCTGATGGCACAATGCCATTCACCAGGAATCAATTACTTAAGCATGTGCTATTATTAATTAGTGCTCATTATGGTGGTTATTTATTATTAATCAGTGTTAACACAGTCCTCTCTCCTCGCCATCCTCCAGCCCGGTTCCCTGCTGCAATCCCCACTCCTTCCAGCCGCCTCCACCACTATTTTTCTTCATTAACCAAAGAAATGGAAACACCTTCCGGACTTCACTTAAAGATCCTATGGGTCTAACGAGATTTGTACCGTGCCAGTCAGGCTAACGAGGGAGTCACTGCGAATGGCACTAATCAAATTTCACAGAGGCAGCAGCACGGGCCGGGTGAAGCGCTGGGGGTTTTGCTGTCAGAATAAATTGCTCACAGCTTTCCCTGCCTGCCCCGTCTGTGTGGACAGGGTTTTAGGGTGGAAAAGGGGACGTGTCCTGGAATATCAAGTCCAGGTAAGGAGGATGCAAAGGCTGGAAAAGCCCTCGGCGGAGCTCGGAGAGGGGCTGGGCTGAGAAAACAAAATCGATGGCAGAGAGGGGAGGAAGAGATTACAGCGCAAAGCCCCAGACAAATGGAGAGCGCTTTAATCAGATTAGGGAGTTATTGTCATTATTGTATTATGCTGATTATAAATCATTTAGGAGCACAGCTAATCAAAACAGAGATTTGTTCAGAGCTTTAAGGGTCGCTACCTCCAGCAAACACCCCTACCCCTCTCCCCCGCCGCCCTCTGGGAGAGGAGGCAGGGCTGCATCCTGGGGCGAGGGGCATGGACCAGGGATGCAGCCGGTGGGGAGACAGCAGGGAGAATCCCCTGGCAAGGCTGGAGGGGCAGAGCAAAGAAAGAGGGGTACGGGCATCTCCAGGATGGAGAAGATGGGGAAATAAGGAGAGAGCGAGCTCGTTGAGCCGTCAGGGTGGGGATGCTGCCCATGGCCAGGAGACGATGCTCCTGAGGCCGGGCATACCAGGACCACTTTTCCCCCCCTGCTCTGCGCACCTTGTCAAGGCAGCTCCTTTTTTCATTACTGTCTCCTTGGATTAGAGATGTGCTCATTTTGCAGCACGTTCGCCGCTCGGCGGCCGAATCCCAGGCGCCACGGTGCAGCTGCAAACTGCATTAGTGTCTCGCCAAGGAGGCCCTAATACTATTAGGAGGGAGGCATTATAGGTGCTAAATGACAAGCCCCTAATCAGCCCTGGGATTTATGCCAATCATGTTCCCCGCGCAGGGCGGAGCAGGGCCCTTCATTCAGAAAAATTGCCTAATTGGGAGGGTCTGGATTCTCTTCGCCTGTCTTGTTTCTGGAGCTCTGGGGCTCCCGGCTGCCTCCTCGGGATGGGGAATAAATGAAGCTGATGACAAGGTGCACGATGAGGAGCAGGGAGGTGGTGACTGTGGCCACGGGTTGGAGCTACAGCCAACTCCTAACTCTATCCAGCCTGCTTTTTCTTTCCTTTTCAGTGGCTCTAGAAGTGCAGGACTGGTCATTGCTGGGATTTTGCAGGGATTGCATCAGTCCAGACTCTCCTGAGAACTGTACAGGAAAATAGATGGGGAAAAAGGAGGCTGTTTTTCCCTTTGCCCACCCCTGCATGGGTGCCCTTAAAGAGCGGGGCTGCCTTCCTGCCCTTGGCTTCAGCAAAATTAATTGGCAATTACCAGAAATCCATAAACCCCAGCCTTTCTTGGGGAAGGAAGCTGTAAAAGCCACGTGTCCGCAGCTGTATTTCCTTCACTCCGCATTGATCCCGTGGCCTCTTGCTGGCCACAGCTCCGCTGCGGGGCGATGTGCTCGGTCCCTGCAGACCCACCCGCATCGATCCCGGGGAACTTGGCCAGCCCGCACCCCCTTGCAGCCGGGATCATCGCTGGCCCCTGGCTAGCGTTGGGTGCAAATTCCCAGGCTGGTGCCAGCCCGTAGTGGAGTCACTTGTCCTCCCTCTCCTTCCCACCCATCTGGCAATATTTATAATGATGCCTGCTGTGGGGAAAAAAAACCTCGTAGCTGCAGCTGCAAGGGGCACATCACAGCATCAGCAGCACTGAAACGCCCTGGGGCAGGGCACCAAGGGGTGCCTGGCTGGAGGCAGGGTTTGGGGAGCATCCTTCTGCGGGATGAAGGGATGCAGGAAGGCAGGAAGGCACAGGTGGAGTCTCCCACCGGAACGTGTTGAGGCCAACGCGATGCCCCATGAGACTGGAGATGCTGATGCTCCAGGGAGAGCGTGCATGCAAAGCCTGGACCAAAGGAGCAGCTGAATTTGCTGCTTGGGCCTGGAGAAGACGAGGAGGGCTGGTGACCAAGGGTCTGGAAAGGCAATTCTCTGCTGGTCTTGGTCCAGGGGATTGCTGTTCTTATGGGATGGTGATCTCTGCAGTGCCAGTGGTCTCGCTGGGCTGTGGAAGGTAATGGGAACATGGGGAAGGGTTCCCACACCCCGCCATGAGCCCGAAATTCCCTCCGTGTCATTTTTCCAGTGCTGAATATTTGACGAAGGCTAAAATACCAATAAGCTGTATTACAGCAGCACTGCATGGAGCCCAGGAGAGCCTTTTAGCTCTTTGGATATTGCATGCTACTCCTACACTTTCATTACGGGAATCCCATTAAAGGTATCGGCCGGACCCTAATGATGCTGAAGGGGGGGAATGTGGCCAGAGCCCCAGTTTCAGAGTCCTGCCGGCTGCTGCCGTGTCTCTGCCCACTTGCTCCCTTGCAGCCACAGAGCCGTCGTGGGGCAGGTTGCATTTAAAAGCCTAAATTGAATCCAGAGATTTTTTTAAAAGCCCTCAGCTCCCATATGTCTCTACTGCAGCGGATGTGTTTAGTACGTTCCCTTTGCCTTAATATGCACTGTTTGAACAAAAATAACGCTCTGTATATTTTACAGAGCTCCTCCGCACGCAGATTTTGTCAGGACTGCCATATAAATATCCCTACCAGCCTCCCAACACCCACCTGCCCAGATTGATGCTT